GGTAGCTAATACTACTGCAGATGTTGTGATGGGAAATTTTTTGTTGCGCTGTGTGAGGGCTGTGAGCTTTGTCCTCAGCCCACCTTGTGGTGTCAGCCTATCGCTCGCTAGCAGATGCGAGATCACAAGGTGTTCTGCATCTCTGCAGTGCTGGGGGAGGGGAGGGGGGTCAAGGTTACTGTGGTCATTTTCATCTGCATTCTTCCTCCTTTTGCAGTTGAGTTTGAGACTCTTGCTGAGGGTACTAAGGGCATTTAGTTTATTGGGTTAAGATGTTAATGTAGAAACAAATGGAGCTGAGCACTAGGCATCCGTGTGTTTCTCACCCTCGGTCTCAGTCATTTCGTCCACCACAGTTCTGTTGTCTAAACTGCATTCAAGCCAGGTGTGGTACGTTGACCAGTTCCCTGCACCAGAGTGGGTGTTCTTATCCGAAGAGCCCATCTCCCTCAGCCCCTCTCCTCGAGCCGGGATCGTGCATAGAGCTGTAAGGCCGTGGATTCTGGGGCCAGCTCTGTGTGTGCAGTTCCCGTGTCCGACATTTTCCAGCTGTGTGACCTTAGCCACATCACTGAACTTCTCTGAGCCTCAGCGTCTTCGTCTGTGAGTGGGAGCGATGATGTGACTATCAGGGAAGAATACGAACATAATCCTCATGCAGAGCTTAGAGCAATGGCTGGTGCGTAGTCAGTTCCGAAATGTTAGCTGTTCTTACTTAATCAGTACAGCTGTTCCGTCTTTAGAAAGCTTTTCTCGATTCACCGGCATCCCCGTGACCGCTGTCTGCGCATTGCTTTGTGTTCTCCTGCTGTCCTGCGTCTGCCATTATTCCACACGCTTGTGTTCTCTTCCCTGCGTTTGTCTCAAGCTACAGCAGGAAATCAGGTCATTTTTCCTTTTTTACATTTTGACCTGCTATTTGATACAATGCTCTGTACATATTAAGTGTAGTTCAGTGTATGTTTGACTTGGCTTTAGGAGTTTTATAACTTTTCTGGGTGAATTAGGGTCTCACACTCTGCCTTTGCGATGTTACCACGAAAGCCCTAACTCATCTGTGCTTTCCCCGATGGTGAGCTCTTGTCCCTTCAAAAGAGCTGATGGCTTGCACAGTCTGTGTGCTTTAGAGTGAGAGGGATGCTACCTTAGTCCATCATAATTTAAGAGTAGATAATTCTTCTTGGCTATTTCAGTATTTTTAAGTTTTTAAAAATATTACATTATGCAATCATGGATTTTTTTTCCCCCTGAGACAAGGTCTTGTTCTGTTTCCTGGGCTTGAGTGCAGTGGCATCATTATAGCCCAACACAACCTCAAACTCCTGGGCTCAAGCATCTTCCGGCCTCAGTCTCCTGAGTAGCTGGGACTACAGGTACAGCCACATCTGGCTAATTTTTCCTTTTTTGTAGAGATAGGGTCTTGCTCTTACTGCTGCTTTTGAACTCAGGGCCTCAAGCGATCTTCCCCAGGCCTCCCAAAGCGGTAGGATTACAGGCTCCCAGCCTGGGGTTGTTTTCAAAGCAGAGTACAGTTAACCCAATGACTGATGGTTCCACTTCTGACCAACAGATTGGAACGTCAGTGGAACTGGGCAGGGCAGGCCTACTTCTGACACCCCATCGCTCCCTGGTCCTGTCTCTGGTGTGCCGGCGAAGGCTGGGGGTTGCAAGCGGCCAGGCCCGTGGGAGTGTCCTGGCGTTTTCTTAAGCACCAAGGAGTTTGCTCATCATCCTGAGCACGGCTCACTCAGGGAGTCCACACACAGTGGCTCCTTGTGTCCAGACTGGGATTAACTGTAGTTAACCTTTACCCTTTTAGGGGCAGAATCAGGACTGTTGCTGCCAGAGACAGAAAGTACTGGACAAGTCTCCAAGGATCCCCGCTTTGTTTAAGGGCACCTTGTCTCAAGGAGCTTGTGTTTCACTTGTTCTTCCTCCCGGGCCACCTTTTGTCCGTTCGCCTGAAGCATCCGGTTGTTGTTGGTTTTTATGAAGATAGCTGGGAACAGATTTGTTTTCTTAGGTTGAAAGCTTATTTTTGCTCCACCTAAGGAAACCACATGGGAGGTTCTGGAAAGTGTACTTTCCGCTTTTATCACTGTCTCCCAGCAGCAACTGGTGTCCTCTGGGAAGGAGCAGGGTGGCTGCTGGGGAGGGTCAGCGTTGTGGATTCTCACTGCCACGGTAGCGTCCTGTCCCTCCGATCGCCACAGAAACGAGCTGAGGAGAGCGGGGAGACGAGGTCTGCAAAGCACTGGCTGTGTCCCGAGGGAGGAGTGGGCAGGACGCCTGCCGGGCCGAGTCCTGCCAGGTGGGGGATAACCTGACTGTCCTGGTGAGAGCTAAGCGGGTCCTGGGAAGGCCGAGGAAGTGGCTGAAGATGACACAGTCACCGAAGGTGGTGCTCAGCGCGTGCCGTGCGCTGCCGCGTGCACTCGGCTTATTAAGAGACAGTCAGCGTTTGACCTGGGTCTTCCCTGCGCCGCACCGAGCCTTTGTTGCCTTTGACCTCGCTGGACAGGAAACCTGCAGTGTTGACGTTGCACATGTCACACCAGCATTCGTTCAGCAGATGTTTTTCTGATGTTTGATGGACACTGGGAATGGTGAAAAGAATGAAAACTTTGTACATTTGCTAGTGGGTATCAGGGGGTACATTTTTTTTCATAGGTTACAAGGCTCTGAGTACATTGACTTACGTCTTCACAACCTTCAGGTCACCTGGCAGGCATGCCAAGTGACCGCGCTTACGTAGTTACGAGAGAGTTCTTTCTGCCTTTGCTTTAGATCTGCGTCCTCAGGGTGGTCTCTGAGAAAATCTAAACGTCGTGTGACTGTAAAGATCACTTTGGTGTAAGAATACTGTGTTGTTTACAGCGTGGCGAGTGTTATATCCAACCTCAGCTGCCGCAGCTGGAGTCCACTGTGTCAGTTTGTCCTACTGTTCCTGCCATCAGCTAATTCTTAGGTTGAGAACAAAAGAACTGATGACAGTAGTGTCACGCCCAAAGAATGCTTGTGTTTCCCTTGTAATGTGTAGCTGCATCTGGTTGCAGACCAGGGACAGGGTCGATGGGCCCTGTCACTGATGCAGCAGGATGGTCTCTTGAGCAGGGCATCTGCCCGAGAAGCCCGGCCAAGACGTGGCCCTGGGCTGCCACGTCAGGGCTTCCTGGTTCCTGCTCAGCCCGAGCACTTGTTTGCTTAAAGACCGTGTGACTGGGCCAGGCGCGGTGGCTCACGCCTGTAACCCAGATCGCTTGAGGTCAGGAGTTCAAAACCAGCCTGAGCAAGAGTGAGACCCCGTCTCTACTATAAATAGAAAGAAATTGGCTGGACAACTAAAAATGTATAGAAAAAATTAGCCGGGTATGGTGGCGCATGCCTATAGTCCCAGCTACTTGGGAGGCTGAGGCAGGAGGATCGCTGGAGCCCAGGAGTTTGAGGTTGCTGTGAGCTAGGCTGACGCCACGGCACTCACTCTAGCCTGGGCAACAAAGTGAGACTCTGTCTCAAAAAAAAAAAAAAAAAAAAGACCGTGTGACTGACCGGTGAGCGTGTAGACATTCCTGCTCAGCTAAGTCGAGTTGCAGTGTGATCGCAGAGTTGAGATTCCACGGCAGAGGTTCGAGTTTCATTTATTGGTCATTCACCACATATTTATTAAAGAACCTCAAAAGCCATTATTAGGCCGAATAAACCTTCTCCAGAGTTGATCCTGAATTTCCTAAGGTCTGTTTTCAGATCTCTGTGCTGCCTTCGGCATCTAGGTCTCCAGTGTGAACCTCTCACGTCACCCTGTCTCTCCACACGGTTCTGGCCAGGTGTGCAGGGCCACCTTTCCTTGCAGCCCCACCGTATATTAGCACTTTTTTAGAACTTTAGAGCACTTTTCTCTTATTTGGCCTCATCTACCCTATTGTGAAGAAAAAAGCAAGGGACACACTTTGGAGTAATTCTCTCCTGTACTTTTAAAGTCACCTGTTCTAGCTTTTATGACAAACTACAGTCATTTAGTTGGGTATCACTCACTTTCAGGTGAATTTGAATTTTACTGTATTCTAAGTGTAGTAACCAGTAGTTTGTCAGTATTTTAAATATTGAAATAAATGGAAATTAGTGTTAGCATTAACACTAATATTTATAAAAGTTAGCCTTATTATTAAAATCATTATTAAGTTGCAGTAAGGTAGTTGCTGTTAGAATTAGGTTGACTTTTTCACTTATTAATATCTTTTCACGAAAGATAGAATAAGTATCTAGTAAATAGAATACTTATTTACTAATAGTATAGAATACATGCCTATAACAGAGTGTTTGAATTCTTTTTTTTTTTTTTTTTTGAGACAGAGTCTCGCTTCGTTGCCCAGGCTAGAGTGAGTGCTGTGGCGTCAGACTAGAGTGAGTGCTGTGGCATCAGCCTAGCTCACAGCAACCTCAAACTCCTCGGCTCAAGAGATCCTCCTGCCCCAGCCTCCCAAGTAGCTGGGACTACAGGCATGTGCCACCATGCTCGGTTAATTTTTTCTGTATTATTTTTAGTTGTCCAGCTAATTTCTTTGTAGTTTGCTTAGTAGAGACAGGGTCTCACTCTTGCTCAGGCTGGTCTCGAACTCCTGAGCTCAAATGATCCACTCGCTTCGGTCTCCCAGAGTGCTAGGATTATAGGCGTGACCCACCATGCCCGGCCAGTAACTATTTTTTAAAGTAACACTTGTTGTAGAAAATTTGAGTAAAATTAAGTTTAAAAAAAAAACAACCCATAATCTTATCACAGGAGATATCTGCTGTTACTATTTGAGTATATATTCAGCATTTCTCTGTGAAATCCATGATGGGACTATATTATATGATTCTATTTTGTTACTTTGTGTCTATTGTTAGTCTTGTGCGTGGCAGGCCTGTGAGATACTTGTATATCAGTTCTAGCAGACATTCTAGCAGAGGAGACTATGCTCTGCCCTGCAGTTTGTTTACTGGCCTCTCATCTTGTTTTGCAGTGGATGAATACATTGCCATTGCCAAAGAGAAGCATGGGTACAACATGGAACAGGTAATGACAGGTGTTTATCTTTTGCTGTTAAAAATCGGTCTTAATAGCCAAGTCATTAAATGTTTTTCTTCTCTGTATCTGAGTAGCAATGTTTCCTCATTAGCAACCTTTTGGTGGTTATGCAGACTTTGGTCCTGTCTGAGTATTAGAGGACCCTGTGATCAAAAGGCATCTATGCATTTCTGCAGGTCTACAGCCTTTAGGACAGTGGTTACTTGCTGGTCACTAAGGGCTGGATACTTGAGCATGATGCTTTCTCATTTGAATATATGATTTGCTTGTCACATTTTTCTGGTTGTATGATGTTTTCTGACTCTTGTTGTCATACTGAAACTTAAAATGTTGTAATATTCTTTGTTTGGAATCACTTTCAGGTTGTAAACATTTGACTCAGGTGTTTTTTTGTTGTTTTTTTTTGAGACAGAGTCTTGTTCTGTTGCCCAGGCTAGAGTGCAGCGGCACAGTCATTATTATAGCTCACTGCAGCCTGAAACTCCTGGGCTCAAGTGATCCTCTCACCTCAGCCTCCTGAGTAGCTGGGACTGCAGATGTGTGCCACCATAGTTGGCTAATTTTTTTATTTTTATTTTTTGTAGAGGTGAGGTCTTGGGTCTGGCTGTGTTGCCCAGGCTGGTCTTGAACTCCTCAAGTGATCATAGGCACCATGTCCAGTCTAAGGTTTTTTAAAAAATATTTTTGTGACCATATTGAACAGAAATCCACAAGGTTTATTTCTCTCAAAAAGTATGTTGATGTATTTTTTCAGCCTTGTTTCTAATGACCTGTTTTAAGCACATTAAGTTGGATTAATGCTTAACATGGCATTGATCTAGATCTTACGGCCTGTAAGGCATAAATATTTCTCATTTATCCTAATGATTGACAGTACCAAGAGTTTAGATTATATAACATTTTACATTTCAGGCTTGGTCTTACATTTAATTACTCTAGCCTGGTCATTGAAGGTACTTTTAGAAAAGCCAGTTAGTTACACTAAGATAGTTCTAAAATCTTTTAAAACAAGAAACATATGCTTCTGTTTTTCCAAACTCTACTCGAAAACTTCACAGAGTTGCTCAGAAAATCATTAATTTAAAAAAAAATAAATTTCTTATTTGTGATTATAACTTGCGAGTAAAGTTGAAATTGCCTTGAATGTATACTGTCTGATTTTTTAATTCTATTTAGAAAGTATAAATATTATTGGGTGATTGCTAAATATACCAATATGAATTCATAAGGTTCCTAGTCTTTGATCATTTCTACTTTAGAAATGATCATTAACACAATCATTTTCACTTTACAATTGCAGTACAGAAAATTCTTTCAGGAAAGTATTGTTATATTATCGCTTTTGTTTCTAATTTGTTCCTTACCTATTTTTTCTCAGCTGGAAAAAAAGGTTAGAAGTTTATTAAATAAAAGAATAACAAAACAATGGAGTACTTTTCTAAATTACTTTCTGTTTTTATAGAAAGAGGCATTAAAATGTGGCACTTGAAGAGCACAGATTCTAGATCCATGCTGCTTCTAGCAAGTTACATTATTTCTCAGGGCCTCCGTACTTTAGTTTAAGAAATGGGAATAATGGAATTTATCTCACAGGACTTGAGATAAATGAGGTAGTATACAAAGTACATGTGGCAAGGAGAATTCAGGGAGATGGCAGAGTATGCAGCACCAAAAGACTGTGTCCCCACCTAGACACAAATTGCACTGGCAGAATCTGTCTGGGGTGATTATTTTGGAACTCTGGAATCCGTTGAAAGCCTGTAACTTTGCTCATTTTCGGATCATAGCAAGCTTGCAGCTCTCCATCTCCCAACCCCCACCCTGTGGCAAGCAGCTGTAAATGTGCTCCTGGAGCGGCTTGCACACACTTTATAGAGTGTGGGTGAGCAAAAAGCCCCTTGTTCTCCAAATATGGGATCTGCGCTGTGGTTATTGATTGCTACTTCTGATGACAAAGGTGCAGACAAGGAAATCAGCAGCCATCATTGTTGCACCTCCCCATGTAGTTGTCAGTTCCTCTCCCTCTGGCTGAAGTGACTTCCCCTGCTTCCTCCCTTGCCGTCGTTTTCTCCTTTTTTTCCGTTTGGGAGCCAGACATAAAGATGAGGACATTCAAAAGTAAATGCATATAAGGGGGAAATTATTAATAGAAAGTTGCCAGGCACACTGAAGGAAAGGCATAGGCTCATAAAAGACCTTAAGTTTACACTTTTGGCTGATCCTTGGCTTACAGACAGCCTACGACAATTTAAAATAATCATCATCATAATAAATGGCAAACCCTGGGGAAGGGCAAGAGTCTGAAGACCAGATTTACTACATTATTAGATTCAAATGTGTAGTTTTCAATGAAAAAAATCACAAAGCATAGAAATAAGTGGTAAATTATTGCCTATTTAAAGGGAAAAAATTAATAGAAACTGTCCCTGAAAAAACCTGGTGGCAGATCTACTAGGCAAAGACTTTAAAGCCATTATCTTAAAGATGCTCAAAGAATTAAAGGAAGATGTGGAAAAAGTCAAGAAAATAAGGTGTGAACAAAATGGCAATATCAATAAGGAGATGTAAAACCTAAAAAGAAACCAAAAAGAAATTCTGGAGCTAAAAGAAAGAATACCTGAGGCCGGGCGTGGTGGCTCACGCCTGTAATCCTAGCACTTTGGGAGGCTGAGGTGGGTGGATTGCTCAAGGTCAGGAGTTCGAAACCAGCCTGAGCAGAAAGAAATTAACTGACCAACTAAATATATATATATATACAAAACATTTAGCTGGGCATGGTGGCGCATGCCTATAGTCCCAGCTACTTGGGAGGCTGAGGCAGTAGGATCGCTGAGCCCTGGAGTTTGAGGTTACTGTGAGCCAGGCTGACGCCACGGCACTCACTCTAGCCTGGACAACAAAGTGAGACTCTGTCTCAAAAAAAAAAAAAAAAAGAAAAGAAAGAATACCTGGAATGAAAAATTCGCTACAGGGATTCAAAGGCAGATTTGAACAGTCACAAGAAGAAATGAGAAGAATGTGAAGATAGGACACTAGAAATTATTTGAGACTCAGGAATAGAAGGAAAAAAGATTGAAGTAGAGTGAGCAACACCTGAGGTACCTGTGGGGCACAGTCAAGTGGACCATCATATGTACTATGTGATCTTCAGAAGAGGAAGAGGAGGAGATGGGCAGAGAGATTATTTGAAGCAATCGTGGCCCAAAACCCCCCAAATTTGATGAAAGACATGAATATAAACATTCCAGGAAAGTAAACAAACTCTAAAGAAGATGAACTCAAGAAAGTCCATGTTGTAATCAAGCTGTCAAAAGTGAAAATAAAGAAAATCTTAGAGGCAGTAAGAGAGAAGTGACTTACTACATACAGGGATTCCTGAAAAAGATACTGGACAAATTTCTCTTCAGAAACTTTGGAGACCAGAAGGCAATGGACTGATATATTCAAGGTGCTAAGAGAAGAAAACTGCCAACCAAGAATCCTGTATCTGACAAAACTACCCTTTAAAAATAAGGGGGAGAAGGGCTGGGCGCGGTGACTCATGCCTGTAATCCTAGCACTCTGGGAGGCTGAGGCGGGAGGATTGCTTGAGCTCAGGAGTTCGAAACCAGCCTGAGTGAGACCCCGTCTCTACTAAAATATAGAAAGAAATTAACTGACCAACTAAATATATATATATATACAAAACATTTAGCTGGGCATGGTGATGCATGCCTGTAGTCCCAGCTACTCAGGAGGCGGAGGCAGTAAGATAGCTTGAGCCCTAGGAGATTGAGGTTGCTGTGAGCTAGGCTGATGCCACGGCACTCACTCTAGCCTGGGCAACAAAGTGAGACTCTGTCTCAAAAAAATCAAAAATAAGGGGGAGAAATTAAGACATTCCCAGATAAACAAAAGCTGTGGGAGTTCATTACAACTAAACTTGCCCTGCAGGAAATACTTAAAGGAGTCCTACAGGATTAAATGAAGGGACACTAGACAATAATAAAGACTTCAGTAAATTGCCACTTAGTGTTACATAAGGTAGTTTTTAATTTGTCTGAATATAAAGTAGTACATACTCTTCTTTTGCCAATCTCACTTTCATGTTAGCGTTTCATTCAGATTTTTGTTTGAATAAAATTTCACTGATATCATTTTTTCTAGGCCCTTGGGATGCTCTTTTGGCATAAGCATAATATTGAAAAATCATTGGCTGATTTGCCCAACTTTACCCCCTTCCCAGATGAGTGGACTGTGGAGGATAAAGTATTGTTTGAACAAGCCTTTAGTTTTCATGGGAAAACTTTTCATAGAATCCAACAGATGGTAAGTAGATGAGACCATTGATTCACACCCCCCTCCAACCCCAGCTCTCTCTTTTGCAGCATACTTGGGAGACAGGGAGCTCATCCTCAAGCACAGATATTCCCACTTTTAATCAAGCTCCCTGTAGACAGTGCAGCTTACTCCTCGTTGCTCTCTGGGTGGGAGTCTTAGATTCCAGGACTGATGCATACCCTGGCACCTCCAGCCTGTCAGCTCCCCACCCACCACCCCAGTCCTCCTTGTTGGGACTCCCAAAAGATTAGACCAATGGAAAGGATGTTTGATAGGTGCTTGAGATGGAGCTTCATGGGGCTCTGTCTGCCTGGGAAAAGTTTGCTTAACCATTGCATTCCAGCAAGCTCTTAGGTAGACTGCTGCTTAAAAGCTTACTTCACATTAAGTATTAAAATTAATTTATATATATATATATATATATATATATATATATAAAGGTGGTATTAATAACACTGAGTATGTGAAAATTCTGATTTATCTTGAACTGATTTACTATCTTTTTGGCTAATGTCACAGTGAAACTTCAGTAATTTGAAAAAGTATATTGATAAGAACTCTTATCAATTTTTTTCTTATCTGAAAATAAGGACTATGACTTAGGACATTTCTAAGTATGTGAGAGTGATCCTTATTAAATGCATCTAAACAAATTTAATTTTTAAAGATTAGTTTTAACTCTAAATGAACTCATTTTTTATATTTAGCTTCCTGATAAATCTATAGCAAGTCTAGTGAAATTTTACTACTCTTGGAAGAAGACAAGGACTAAAACTAGTGTGATGGATCGCCATGCTCGGAAACAAAAACGTGAGCGAGAGGAGAGGTGAGCACGGGCCTGGGGGTGTCATCTAACCACTTAGGGGAGTTTCTGAGATCTCTGGGTGCATGAAGGAAAAATAGATCCTTCCTGGTGGAATCGTGTTCATGAGGTATTTTAGAATGTGAGTGTTAACATTATTCAGGTACTTTTTCTCATCACTCTTTTCCTGCCATCAGTGAAATTCCATTTTGAATGAGTGAACTTTCACACATATTTTTTTTCCTACCCCTTTAGGGTGGCTCTTTTTAATAAAAGGAAATCTTTTCTTTTGTAGTTTCAAATTTAATTTGATATAATACATACAGATTCATTTTACGTTTTAAAATGTTTGCTACCTAAAAACAAAAAAAGATAATACAGTTTAGATTTCCTTCTTCTTCTTCTTTCTTTTTTTTGAGACAGGGTCTTGCTCTGTCACCCAGGCTAGAGTGCAGTGGCATTATCATAGCTCGCTGCTGCACCATCAAACTCCTGAACTTAAGCAATCCTTCCACTTCAGCTTCCTGAGTAGCTAGAACTATGGTCATACACCACCACACCTGTCTAATTTTTCTATTATTTGTAGAGTCAGAGTCTCACTCTTTTTCAGACTGGTCTCGAGCTCCTGGCTTCAAGCCATCCTCCCACCTTGGCCTCCAAAAGTGCTAGTATTACAGGTGTGTGCCCTGGCCTCTCCTCCTCCCTTTTTTGTGTGTATGCGCGTAAGAGAGAAAAAAACATTTTATAGCTTACTAGTAAGGATGTTAAGTTTAAAGATAGCTTAGTAAGCAGGACACTTCGTAGCCATCACTTCTTATACATAGCACAGAGAAGTGGAAGTGGTCATGGACACACTCAGAGGTGAGTTCTAGTCTCTGCTCTGAAGATTTGACTCACATACTCAAAGGCTAGTAAGTTCAACATACCTCTTCCCCAAGCCTGTATTTTCTTCAACTCTAAAATGATGATGCTTGAAGTCCAGAGGGCAGTATACAAACATAATGGTTTTTGTGTTAGGATAGTAGGAATATTAGGTGGCTTTTAAAAATTATGTTTTCTACATATTCTATAATATGTTATTTTTATCCAGTAATAATACAATGTAAAATGAAGGAGGATGAACTATATAGTCCCCAAGGCCCCTTCTCAGTATAGAATTTTATGATTTCAAATCCAAGAGTAACACGTGAGAACACATTGAGAGCTGAGTATCAGTTTTAGAGAAGTCAAACCTCTCAGCCTAAGCATAAATTGAGAATGATGTTAAGAACATCTCCCATGCTTTTTTCAATATACTATAAGAGTATATAAAATTACTGACCTTACTACATCTGCATATTTTTTGTCTGCAACTTAAATACTAGTGGGTCTATTTATCGGTGAGTTCTCTTACTAACTTTTGATTAAATGTTTTCATTTCCCTTATATGTGAGGTCTAATTTACTGTTTATAAATTGAGCCTATTGCTACAAGCAGATACAGTCTACTGAGCAGCAATTAGAAATAAATAACATAGATTGGATATCGTTGAGTGTGAAATGATAAGACTATCTCCTGACAATCCTCCGTTCTCACTGCCCAGGTGCTTTTCCTTGCATTACTACCATTGGTGCCAAGAACTGCTGCACCGTACACCCATGTACATCTTCACCCCTGTTATGGTGCATACGGGGGAAGGGTACACCAGCCATAGCAGCACCTGAGAGATTGTCGACTTTCTAGGGGCCTTGCCTGTGGAGGTCATGGCAGGCACTTGGACAGAATTCCCTTAACCCCAGCTTTCTCTCCTCATTCGTGGACACTCTTTCCTCAGAACTTCCTCCTGCCTTAGTAGTGGGTGGGGAGGAGGTGTGGCATGCAGTGGGCACTGTCACCTAGATGGATTAACTTAATTTTAAAACATTAGTTTTCCAGGCCACCAAAAAAACCCCCCAGACTTTGTGTACTCATTAATGGAAAGATGCAACTTGAAATTGGATTTTTACTTGTTAACAGGTTTGTTCCTAGTGCAATGGAACTTCATTCTAGCTTACTTTGTCCATTAATGTTTAATGGTCATGTCCTATCCTCCAGTAGATAATTATGGGGAAATAAATGTCTTTTCAATTTTGTATTTTTAGTTGTGAGTTGAAAGAAAATACTTTACAAATATACAGAGCAGTAGTGTTCTAGATGCGGTTTGGGAAATTAGAAACCTATTTTAACTTATGCTGAAAGAACTATGGGGTTGGTATTCTGTTTGAATTGTAAAATGTTTTTTATCTCAGCAATCTGAAAATGTATTAATTTTATATTAAATCATTGTTACATCAATTTATTGCTTATATTTGTAAATTAAATAGAATTAGTACAAAATAATGTCAGTAATTTGTTCTTGTCTTCCAGTGAGGATGAACTGGAAGAAACAAATGGAAATAACCCCATTGACATTGAGGTTGATCAAAACAAGGAAAGCAAAAAGGAGGTATTTTTTTCCCCTAGTATTGTTTAGGCGAATATATTTTATTACTAGTTCCATAAATAAAACATTCCTCTTGCTTATTCCAGTTAATATATTAAGTGCTGTGTACAAAGCATCATAATATGACATTTTCAGCAATACTACCTTTGCATTTTAGAACTTAGAATTCTGTAGAACTTAGAACTCTTTAGAAACATGAGTAAAAGAAGTGTTAAAGGAAAAAAAAAATAGCATTAATGAGTAAAGTCTAGAGTAGCAGTCCTCGCTGATTTCCTTCGTAAGCCATCGATTAGCTCAATAGGCTATAAAGGGTGCTAGTCAGGACCAGGCTACTGACCAGCTCCTCCTCTCAGTCCTCGAGGCCGCCGATCTAACTGTGCTGCCGGGCACTGACTCAGAGTGAGGTGACCTAGGTGACCTCAGGGAGCTAGCAGGGACTCAGCCCAACCCTCTCGTTACTTAGAAACAACACTGTGGTTGCAGCAGGGTGAGCCAGGAACATCACCTCGTATGCGGCCATCGTTTCATCTCTCACATTTGAAAAACCACCAGGCAAGAGATTTTTAGTCTCTGCATTCAAGGGGCCCACGAATCCCTACAGTTGCACATGACTTTTACATGTGTTCATAGAGGCATTTTTCTGAAGACAGTCTCTAGTTTCAATAAAAGTCTCAAGAGTTCTCTATCCCCTCAGATTTTGAGAACAGTTATTTTAACCTTAGAAAAACAAAAGTGTCTAGACATACCTAATGTTTAAAATTCCATTTAATCACTTTTATTTTTTTTTATTTATTTAATTTTTTTTGAGACAGAGTCTCACTGTGTTGCCTGGGGTAGAGTGCTGTGGTGTCAGCCTAGCTCACAGCAACCTCAAACTCCTGGGCTCAAGTGATCCTCCTGCCTCAGCCTCCCGAGTGACATGTGCCACCATGCCTGGCTTATTTTTTCTATATATATTTAGTTGTCCGGCTAATTTCTTTCTTTTTCTTTTCTTTTCTTTTCTTTTCTTTTCTTTTCTTTTCTTTTCTTTTCTTTTCTTTTCTTTTCTTTTCTTTCTTTCTTTCTTTCTTTCTTTCTTTCTTTCTCTCTCTCTCTCTCTCTCTCTTTCTTTCTCTCTCTCTCTTTTTCTTTCTTTCTCTCTCTCTCTCTTCCTCTCTCTCTCTCTCTCTCTCTCTTCTCTTTTCTTTCTTTCTCTCTCTTCTTTCTCCTCTCTCCCTCCCTCTCTCTCTCTTTATCCTACCTCTCTCTCTCTCCTCTTCTTTCCCCTCCCCACCACCCACCCCTCCCTTGTTAGAATGGGTCTCGTTCTTGCTCAGGTACTGGGTCTCGAACTCCCTGCCTGAGCAATCTTCTGCATCGGCCTTCCATAGTGCTGGATTAGGCATAGGCCAGTTGCCTTAGCAATATCACTTTTATAGACAAAGTAGGAAATATAGCTAACAAAAAGAAGAAAACCAAACGATTTACAATATTATCACCCATATTGGTGACTTTTTCCGGACAACTCTCTCTAAAAATTGTGTGTGGCAATATATACTTAATTCTGATCTTTTTATTTCTTAGAAATAATAGAATGGGATCTTACTATGTAATTTTTATAAGCTGCTTTTAAATTGACTCTACCCTAAAAATATTTTATGTCAAAAATATTTGTATACATAGCTATATATTATCCCATCATATGAATCTTTTTTTTTTTTTTTTGAGGCAGAGTCTCACTCTGTTGCCCAAGTCAGAGTGCTGTGGTATCAGCCTAGCTCACAGCAACCTCAAACTCCTAGGCTTAAGCAGTCCTTCTGCCTCAGCCTCCCAAGTAGCTGGGACTACAGGCATGTGCCACTATGCCCAGCTAATTTTTTCTATATATTTTTCATTGTCTAGCTAATTCTTTCTTTTTCTCCCTCCCCTCCTCCTCCCTCCCTCCTCTCCCTCCTCCCTCCCTCCTTCCCTTCCTTCCTTCCTTTCCTTCCTTCCTTTCCTTCCTTCCTTCCTTTCCTTCCTTCCTTTCCTTCCTTCCTTCCCTTCCTTCCTTCCCTTCCCTTTCTTTCCTTCCCTTCCTTCCTTTCTTTCTTTCCTTTCTTTCTTGACGGGGTCTCGCTCTTGCTCAGGCTGGTCTTGGACTCCTGACCTCGAGCAATCCTCCTGCCTCGGCTTCCCAGAGTACTAGGATTACAGGTGTGAGCCACCATGCCCAGCCCATAATTGAGTTAACTGATCCTGTGTGGATTTCTAGATTGTTTATATACCCTGCTTTTTGCTTGTATAAACAGTGCTGAATTGATTTTCACGTAATAAATTATTTGTATACCTATAATTTTCCATTATAATTAATTCCTAGAAGTCGACTGGTTGAGTCAAAGTGTTCTAGGTACATCTTTAAGGCTTCTTTTGATATATATCGCCAAAGTGGAAACTGGTAATTCTTTTTGGATGGCACTCTTTCCAGCAATTGATACAAGTGTCCAAGATCCTAATGGTTAGCTAAATTATACTGTTTGGGAAATAAAATTGTACTTTAAAATATTAGTAAGCTTTGTTTTGATGTGTTGTTGTTATTCGTTAGGTTCCTCAATGGCACGTTTTAAATGAGAGAGAAAAGGCTTGATTTTTTATCCATTTCTGTAATTCTGTAATTCTTATTTATATATCATAATTTCTGCTTCGAAAAGAAAAATGGTTAAATCGTAATTTAGGTACTAAAATGTTATTACACCAGACACATGCTCAGTAGGTAATCTTTATTAAATAGCATAGTGCTATATAGAGGATAGCTTATTGCCTACTGATATTTTTATATATTGTTTAAATATATGACCAAGATGAGATTATGAACACTTGTAAAACCTTCTTAAAATGATTAAGATGTATTCCTTTCCTTGCCATGGTTTTACTGTGTTTCATTTCTGGAGGTTTTGGTTTTATAGAAAACAGCTTTAAAAAATTAATAACAGTCATGCATTTTAAAATGACAACATAATATTCTGGAGCAAGTTATATAAGTTGTACCAAAAATTAAGTGTTGTCCAAAAAGAAAAGGTGTATAATAAGTCATATTTCACATCTAAGTTTATATTTCTTAATCTAAAGATTTAAATAATTCCTTATGGATCCTTATAAATATGCCAAATCATTGTTTTTCTTTTTTTCCTATGGTCATATGACTGACTATCTATCTATCTATCTATCTATCTATCTATCTATCTATCTATCTATGTATATCTATCTATCTATCTTTTTTGAGTCTCACTTTGTTGCCCAGGCTAGAGTGCTGTGGCATCAGCCTAGCTCACAGCAATCTCAAACTCCTGGGCTCAAGCAATCCTTCTGCCTCAGCCTCCCGAGTAGCTGGGACTACAGGCATGTGCCACCATGCCTGGCTAATTTTTTCTCTATATATTTTTATTTGGCCAATTAATTTCTTTCTATTTTTAGTAGAGGCAGGGTCTCGCTCTTGCTCAGGCTGGTTGCACTTGCTCAGGCTGGTTTCGAACTCCTGACCTTGAGCAATCCACCCGCCTCGTCTTCCCAGAGTGTTAGGATTAAAGGTGTGAGCCACTGCACCCAGCCATAACCATCTGTATTGCTAGGGACTGTTCTTAGGATAAAATGGCTTCCTAGTCATTTATCTGTATATCATGTAGATAAATATATAATGTATATGTACAGATAGATAGATAGTATTTACATATATATGGCCATAAAGCTCACTGGAGGAGAATACAAACTTTTTTCTTTCTGTATTACTATAGGAAGCTGAGAATGCTTATTATCAGAGGTTTCAAGTGATAGAGTAGGAATATATCTCTATGTGGAGGAAATGGAAGTTGTATCTCTACATGGAGGAAATATATGTTCAAGTATTTAGCCAGAATTCAATAGCCCAAGTTTTTATGTGTTAACTGCCTATTAGAACTTGTAGATGGTGATTCTGATTTGGCGTGGCGTTTGCCTTAGATTGTTTGGTATCATGTCAAGGAAATCAGTGTGCTTGTTACTGACCATTCGACATTTTTATTTTTGAGTTTCATTTATCAAATGTGTGTATTATGCAGGTTCCCCCTACTGAGACAGTTCCTCAGGTCAAAAAAGAAAAACATAGCACACAAGCTAAAAATAGAGCAAAAAGGAAACCCCCAAAAGGAATGTTTCTTTCTCAAGAAGATGTGGAGGCCGTTTCTGCCAATGCCACTGCTGCTACTACGGTGCTGAGACAACTAGACATGGAATTGGTTTCAATCAAACGACAGGTACTCATAAAGCCCAGTCCTGGCTAAGAGTTAACTAGCACTTTAGAAGTGTTTCTGTTTTTCACACAGGCATGTTCTTTTTCTATAAATCTCAAAGGGGCATTTTATTTCCATAAAATTAGAAGATCATGGGCAGTAACCCATTCTGATTTTTAAAACCACTAATTCTTTTTGTTCATTTTATTTTCTGTTTGTTGGGTTTTTTGTTTGTTTGTTTGGTTTTTTTTTTTTTTTTTTTTTTTTTTTTTAAGAAATGGGGTCTCATTGTGTTGACCAGGAACGCCTGGCCTCAAGCTATCCTCCCACCTTAGCCTCCCAAAGTGCTGGATTATGGGCATGAGCCATCATACCCAGGCCCTTTTTGATATTTTAAACAAAAATCATGTGGTATTCCTTTTTTTATGTCTGGCTTTCTTTCAACATAAGAGCCATCCATGTGGTGTAGAACCGTTCTTATGAGTCTGTTCTTTCACATTGCTGTACAAATATCCTACAGATTTCACTAATTGTAGACATTGGGTTGCTTCCCATTTTTGGCCATTACAAATGATACTGCTATGAACATTGTTTTGTATGACTCTTGATGCATCGTGTGTGCATCTCTGTGTATCCCTATGAGTAGAATTGCTGCTTTTGAGTGCACTTACATCCAGCATTCTGAAACATCATTGAACCGTTTTCCAAGGTGGTCCTGTCAGTTTGAGTTTTGGTAACACCACGTCCGGGTTTCCCAGCTGCAGCACTGTTGACATTTTAGGCTGTCCTGAGTGTTATGAGATTGTTAGCATCGTGCCTGGCCTCCACCCACTACATGCTGACAGCATCCTCCCCTACCACTTGCGGCAACAGGAATGTCCCCAGGTGTTACCAAATTACCCCTCAGAGGCAAAATTGCCCCAGTGGAGATCTGTTGCTCTGCATGATTGCCAGCACTCTGGTGGTCTGTAAATTGTAGCCTTACTAGTGGGTTTATGGTGATAGCTCATTGTACTGTTTTATTTTGCAATTCCCTGATGACTGATGAGGTTGCCCACCTTTTCATGTACTTGTTGGCCATTTGGATGTCCTCTTCTGTGACATATCTTTTGAAGTGTTTTGTCCATATTTTTCGTATTGGATTGTATGTTTTCTTACTGGTTTATAGGTGTTCTTCATTCAGGTTCTGAGTTGTTTTCTACTTATGTTTCCTATTCTGTAGTTTGCTTTTTCACTCTCTCAATGGTAGTTTTGATGAACAGAAATTCTTTCTTTTTAGGTAGTCTAGTTTATCAGTCTTCTCAGGTTGGTGGGTTTTTTTGACTTCGGTTAAGAACCTTTTCCAAGGTCATGAAGATGCTCATGTTATCTTAGAAGTGTTGTTTGCCTTTTACATTTGATCTTCAGTACACCTAGAAATGTTTTTCTGTACATGTTGTCAGGTGTAGGTTTAATAGTCATTGTTTTTTTCATGTGGGTGTGTATCTGTGTGACCAAGTACTATTCATACTGTAACACACAGGACCTTTGTGTTAAATCCAGTGGCTGTGTGTGGGTCTGGATGAGGTGCTCTGTTCCTTTGGTCTGCTTGTCCAGCCTTCACACGTACGTGCTGTCCTGGTTGTATGTACTTTATAAACTTAGGTATCTGGTGTAGTGTAAATTTTCCTGGTTATCCCCAGCCTTTACATTTCCATATAAAATTCAGAATTAGTTTATCAATTTCTGGAAAAATAATTCTATCAGAATTTTGATTGGGGTTTTATTGCATCTCCAGATAAAAATAGATTTTGAGTCTATTGATTCTTCTGATTAGTGAATATGATATACCCTTCCACTTACATAGTTCTTTAATTTCTCTCATGTTTTGTTTTCTGGGTATAGGACTTACAGCTCTGTTGTTAGAGTTAGTTATTCCTATGTAATTGGTGCTTTTTCTGTTGTCCTTATAAAGGGTCTTGTTATTTATTTATTTATCCTTCAAAGCCAGGAATGAAAGGATATCGTTTTATACATTCTCTTCTGTAATTGTCTGTGCCTGCTGTGTAGAAATGGTTTATCATTTTAATCTGGTTGCATAGTACATTTAAACTGGGAATTCAACCTAGTAGCCTAGTACCGTACTTTCATTAGCTCGTTCTCATTCACCCCTCCTCGAATTCAGTTCCAGAAAACCATCAGCAAATTGTGGACTGACATTTATTATTGGTTTTTTGCTGCTTTTGATTTGTTAGTCTTGACAGTGCCCTTGGAAGGTTAAGTGGGAGGCCAACTGTCATTTCATTAGATGAGAAGGGTGGGATCTGTGGCCCTATCTACCTTCTGGCCCAGGGAGGTGGTGCAGACCAGGACCAAGCATGTCCCTTGGAATCAGAGGATCGCTTCTTGTCTTGGCTGCTGGCACAGCTGCGCTCTAATCTTAGGAGAATCACTTAATCTTTCTGGGCCTCTTTTCAAATGAGGAGGTTAATCCTTGCCTGCCTGATCTCACAGGATATATCGGGGCTGCTGTGTGAGAGCATTTTAAGCTGTTCGCATTGCAAGAACTCTCTCTGATTAGGGCCGTGAGCTCTTTTCTGCATTCTCATCTCCCTCTCTGCTGAATGAGTTGCTGGTGGTTGCTGTATGATGTTAACATGTTGAGGAAAGAAAAAAAGGCCTTCCTCTTCCACAGAGGTATCACTGACTCTGTAGTGTGAGAGAGAAAAGATTCTTTGGTTTTCAGAGCAGAGTCAAGAACAGCAATTTTTTAAATCTCAAGGTAGCTCATACTCATCAAGAGGGGGGCTCCGTCTCACCAGGGGAGGTAGTAGGTTGTTCACTTTCCACAGCCTTTTTGGGCTACAGTGGAATAGCAAGTTCAGCACCAAATATACTTCTAGACTCAAAGTGGCAGTCAGTCCACAGGGGGCCATTTGTTCAGGATGACCCTATGTTTAGTGGTGTATCAAAGATACATTCACCTGAAAATAACAAAAAACCTGACTAACAATTGCCTAAACAGTTAAGGATTTATGTTTTTCAAATAGCAAGAAGTCACATGTCAGTGGTTGCTGACATTAGTTCATTTGTTCATTGATGCTCTGAGCGACCCAGGTGCTTTCAGATCTTCTCTTCTGCCACTCTTTGCTTATTGGCTTTTCATCTTGCTTGTGGCCTCAATTGGAAGCTGCAGAAGCCATTTTGAAGCCCTGGCGTCTGCATTCAGGGTAGTACGAGGAGCAGACGGAGGTGGAGCTAACCTGTCCCTTGCAGGAAAAGCAAGAGCCTAACCAGAAACTCCATAGCAGACTTCTGCCTGCCAGGCTTTGTGCGCTGCTCCTGCCAGCTCCGGGGGATGCAGCAGCGCTGCAGAAGATGCACAGAAAGGGGGCTGGGCATGCCTGTTAGATTCGTCGCCAGCGAACTCCTGCATTCAGCCTTTCTCTGAGTGGAGAATAAAATAGTCTGACATTAGTGAGGAATCAATCACTAATCACACAAAGTGGAAAACGGAAAGTTGGGTTTGGGTAGTCTAGATAGGGTGCCAGGCCATGTGGTTTGCTTTAGTCTTTGGTTTTGTTTTTTCCTTTAAATGCTGATTACCTTCGTATTCTCTTTGTTATCCAGCTAACTGCCACTTGCTTCCTTTCCTGTCCTTATTAATAAACCTAGATATTTCTGATGTGGAAAATACATCAGGAATAAAGTTGTAGGCTACTGAGCATTTAGAGCTGTTTTGGGGTGTTTTTGAGACAGAGTCTGGCTCTGTTGCTCAGGCTAGAGTGCCGTGGCATCAGCCTAGCTCACAGCAACCTCAAACTTTTGGGCTCAAGTGATCCTCCTGCCTCAGCCTCCCGAGTAGCTAGGACTACAGGCATGCACCACCATGCCTGGCCAATTTTTTCTATATATTTTTAGTTGGCCAATTAATTTCTATTTATAGTAGAGATGGGGTTTCGCTCTTTCTCAGGCTGGTCTCAAACTCCTGACCTTGAGCGATCCTCCCACCTCCCAGAGTGCTAGGATTACAAGTGTGAGCCACCACACCCAGCCTAGAGCTAACTTTTGGTTCAGAATTTGTGGGCGTTTTGCATTTAATCTGTATTCTACTTTATTGATTTTAGATAGAAAAGGCATTTGCTAAACATATTGGTCTCCTTGGTAAATGTTTATTACTAAAGCACAGTGCAAAATAAACCCAGGTTTGTAACATCTATGAGCAACCAGCTAGAGTGGAGAGAGCAACCTATTCCACTGGAATGCTGAAGTCCTTGCGATATTCTAGGCCCTGACTTTTCCTGTTGGAACTTTCTAAGTTCAGTTGATATCCTAAGAAGAATTCAGGGGACAGTATTTCACCATTTTTTGGTAACTGAAAGAGCCTTGAGCATGAGCCTAAGACAGTGCTATCTGGCACAGTAGCTAGCAGCCACATGGGGTCGTTTAAGTTTAGATTAATTACAATTAAAAAATTAAAAATTCAATCCCTCAGTCACGTAAGCTACATTTCTAGGGCTTGATAGCAGCATGTGGCTACCATATGAGCCAGCCCAGCTTTAGACTGTTCCAATCATCACAGAGAGTCTTTTTGGACACTGCTGGTCTGAGAGCTTGGCTTCACTTTCTCAGGAACTTAATAAATAAAGTTCCTTTTTTTGTTGTTCTTTTTAAATTTTATTTTATATGCAAAGAGCTAGCATGTTTTCTTTTACTGAGTGGATGCCTTGGATGATCCATTCCGGGAAGATCACTTAGTCCAACATATGGCGGCACACAGCAAGGCCATATTTCCGAGTGGATGCAATGAACAAAAACCCCTGCCAGACTGTCGTGGGTGGCTCCAGCAGAGCTGCTGCTGGTGACCCGTCTTGCTTTCAGGAGTGCAACGAGGCAAAAGGCCAAGTGAAGTTCTAGTACAAATTTGTTTTCTTCTGATTTGTACCTTTTCAAAACAAATTAAATTAAAATACATTTCAATAAATCAAGACCCCCATCTGTGGTTTTTATTGTAGGGTAAATTTTGTGCACATTTCCTGAAATTTTCTTTGAAGCTGTCATTTTGTTTTTGTGTCAATGCAGAAGGACCTGGAGTGGGCTCTTTCTGGCAGACTTCGAGCTGCTGACTAATGGTGAGCAGGATCAGATTCTGGTCTGTAGGGTGCTGGTCCTGTTTACTTGGCCACTGGTTCCACAGTGAAGAAAATTTTTCCTGCACATCCTCCTCCCTTTTTAAAGCCTTTTAGGAAAAATAAAACATAGGAGGAAAAGATGTGTGAAACTGGAATTCTGTAAAATTTAAGCACTTGTAAAAATGGAATTTCAAATACTTGTGTAAGTATGAAAAGCCTTTTAAAAAGAAGATAGAATTATTAAAGGTGTCTGTGCAACAATGTCACCACTCCTTCCCTACACTTCATTGTCTCCACTCTCGGTTATCCCCTCCCTACCTCTAATATTTGCCTTTTCTTCGTTTACCAGTAAGATTTCTTCTTTTTTGGGAGCATCTTCTACTCATGAATGTCTTTGGTATTTTATTGGGAAAGTCAGCCTATTCTTGCTCTTGGTTTCTTCTTTGTTTGTGATTATTCAAAGATGAAAGATGATAGTTTCCCTAGTGTTCAGCTACAGTCACATCCCTCTCCTTCAAGGTCAGGCACAGGGAATACTTCTAGGACCTGCTGCGTTCAGGAGCCCTGGGAATATGAAAGAGCAGTGTTGGCTTGGTTGCTGGATTGGTATTGTTTGTGTCTCTCTTGATTAGGCAAGAGCAGCAAAAGATTAGGTACACTGAGTGAAAGCAATAATGTGCTAAGAGCTAATTTATAAGGAAATGAACTTCTAGATGATCAAAATTAGGCTCATGAAAAACCAGCTGACATTTTCCTTTCTTTCTTCCCCCCGTCAAAGAAATCAGCACTGTGCCTGGATGGCGCCATGCCCCGGGCACTGTGGGCTGTGCCTGCAGCTCTGCTGGGAAGCCTGTGCCTCTCCAGGCTGCTCCGTCACTTGAGCTCGATTCTGCAGGATGGGAAGCCCAGGCATCTCCTGTCTGTTGTGTCAAACGCTAGATGAGTGTTTTGGTATGCAGATTCCTGTTAGAAACTAGAAGATCAGAATTATACACTCACTCAGGATTCTTTGTGCCACCATCCTCTCCTTGGTTTTCCCTTATCTGTTGTTCTGAGCAACCAAATTAAGGAATATAGTTAGGTGCTCTCCAGGAATACTATAGGGACCTCAAATTCTGGTTGCATCAGAGGGTTAAAAACTTCTTTGCTCTTGGTTTTTTTGTTTCTTTAGTTTTTTTAGCTCCATCTTCTTTTCATAACTTTATAAAAAGTCATCATTTTTAAATGAAAATCATTTTCCCCCCTAGATTCAGAATATCAAACAGACGAACAGTGCTCTGAAAGAAAAACTTGACGGTGGAATAGAACCGTATCGACTTCCCGAGGTAGGATTATGTTAACATCATCTCAGAAGTCATACCCAAGTTTTACATGTTTAAGAATTTATTATCTGTTCCTATGCTTTTACTGCTAAAAAAAAAAAGAAAAAAAAAAAAAGAATTTATTATCTGTATGATATATCTCTTAGAAAGAAGGGTATATGGACATAATTTTATAAACCTAATTGATGTTAAAATTCTTATGCGAGAAAAAGAAAGGTTGATTAAACCTTAATAAGGATATAGTCACCTCTAAATGTAATGTGCTAAAATGACTCCTTTGGATATCCAGGTCATTCAGAAATGTAACGCACGCTGGACCACAGAAGAGCAGCTTCTTGCCGTACAAGGTATGGGCAGTTCTCCCTATGGAGAGCTTAGGGGCAGTGGTAGGTTACAGGAAAAACAACATCCCCCTGCTCCTAGCACCTCGTCCATGTGGAACAAATTCTTGGAGGAGGCTGTATTCTCCTTTGGGCTGTCATTTCGGCCAAGGCACTGCATCCCCTTGGACTTTTCCTGTTTCTCACAAATTCTCAGAATTAACCTGAAAGCCTGAAAGCCTCAGTTTTCAAAAAGTGTATTTCATTTTATTAATAGCAGTTACTTGTGAACTCTGAATAGTCAGGAAGTACAAGACCAAAAAGAAGCATACTGGTGTGATGCTAAGGTTGGTCCGATGGGTGTGGTGGGCCAAATTGTCGAGTGTCCCAGCTAGCTTGAAAAGGACTGACTGTGCCTTGGCAGGCACCAGTTCCATGCCAGGTTCTGCACCAAGTGCTGGGCCCTGTGAGGTGGGCGCTACAGCCAGCCCCTGCTCACAGAGAGGAGATTGTTCTCTAGCCCAAGATCACACAATGACAAAATGACCCACCAACATGAACGTGGGTCTGGGTGGCCTAGAGTCCACAGGCCTAACCACAGCACTCTGCCGTCTGCCGTTGCCAGCCCATCTCCGGTGCCCTGGGAACCCTACAAAGACGAATGCAGAATGCCCAGGACACGGGGAGTTGTCGGGTGACGTCAGCAGTTACGTGACATGTATGGGAAGACATTTCTAGATGGCAGGGTCTTACCCAACTTCTCTGAACAGTCATCTGCAAAATATATCTAGAGATGACTCCCGCCTGTTCCCATTCTTTTTTTTTTTTTTTTTTTTTTTTTTTGAGACAGAGTCTCACTTTGTTGCCCAGGCTAGAGTGAGTGCCATGGCGGCAGCCTAGCTCACAGCAACCTCACACTCCTGGGCTCAAGCGATCCTACTGCCTCAGCCTCCCGAGTAGCTGGGACTACAGGCATGCGCCACCATGCCCGGCTAATTTTTTCTGTATGTATTAGTTGGCCAATTAATTTCTTTCTATTTATAGTAGAGACGGGGTCTCGCTCTTGTTCAGGCTGGTTTTGAACTCCTGACCTCGAGCAATCCGCCCGCCTCGGCCTCCCAGAGTGCTAGGATTACAGGCGTGAGCCACCGCGCCCGGCCCCATTCTTATAATATGCTAAATTAGTGCCTGCTATTAAAACTTTATATATATTTTTTCTTATCTGGATAAAGAGATAAGTCTCAATTGTCATTTTTAAAATTTGTTTTTCTCTTTTATTGAAAAAAAAAAATGCTTTCTTAAATCCGTAGCCATCAGGAAATACGGCCGAGATTTTCAGGCAATCTCAGATGTGATTGGGAACAAATCAGTAGTACAAGTGAAAAACTTTTTTGTAAATTATCGACGCCGCTTCAACATAGATGAAGTTTTACAAGAGTGGGAGGCAGAGCACGGTAAAGAAGAGACCAATGGGCCCAGTCACCAGAAACCTGTGAAGTCCCCGGACAATTCCGTGAAGATGCCTGAAGAGGAAGACGAGGTAAGTCTGACACGAGACCCCTCCACCCTGCCAGCTTCATGCCTGGTGTTCTGGCCAGTGTCTAAAGCGGTGACTTTCCTCAGCTGTAGAAATATTTTTAGGTTTCAGCTGTATCAGTATAAGTTTCAGCTGTATCAACTTATCTTTTACCTGGAAATCCCCTGACACGTGTGTGTTGACTCCAGTCACTTCCTGGTCACTGTATATTATTCACATTTTAGTTTCTTGGCAAATTCTTTATTTCTTCCTGCTTTCCTCCAACCACAAAATATTCCACACTATCAATACAGTAAAATCTATCATGAAACAGTAGGTTGGAAGTGCCTTGAGGAAGTCAAACTCAGCCATATAGCACGTCGTCACGTCACTGTGCAGTCTATGAACTCCCTGGGTGAGTCTGACAGCCAGCCTGAGCGCCTGAAGTGTGTCCCTGCTTCCACACCTTCCAGCCTTGGGTGCTGTTTGGAGCTGACTGGCCCCAAATACTGATGAGGATGATTCTGTGGCTGGCTGGAACTTTTAAGGTGGTGGCTGACATTCTAGTCATTTCCAGAATGGCAGCACTGGCCTCATCTGCCCAGTCAGCCGAGATTAGACAGGAAGATTACTCGGGCTGCAGAGACCATCTGCAGTCTCCCTGCTCCCTCTGCCAGGGTTGCTGGCCCTTTCCCCATCTGTCCTGCCCCACATTTCATCTCCGCCCCTCTCCCAGAGCAGAGGAAAGAGTTCATTGCCAGTCACTTAACATCTGCATTTGTTCCCTGAGGTGTGCAAACGTGAGGTGAAGGCTGTCACATCCAACCTTGTATTGAGGAAAGGGCGTGTAGGTATGCTAAAATGACAAGGGTAGAGATAGTCTCACCTGAAATTATGAAATGATTACTAGTGGTAATTATACATTACCACTGGTAATGTATATTTGGTAATGGTAATGAAGTCAGGAGAACTCTCCTGACTTCACCAAGAACAGCTCTCATAACTTGTGGTTTCAGCTAAAGGAACAGCTATGTTCAGGCTTGGCTGCGTGGCCCAGTTTCCCCCACAGTGAGGCGCTGCGAGTTGCCACGGAACAGTTAGGTTTGGGTCTGGGAGTCAGTTTTGGAAAAATGGGAGAGGGGAGTTAGGAGATGCCTTGTGGCTCTGAAAGAAATTCTGTGATCTTGTGTGTTCCTGTATCCCAGCAGAAACCCACGGCTGTTGCGGGTGGGCGGGGTGCTGCGGCATCCCTGAGCCAGTGAGAGCGGTCACGCTCTTGCCACGCCGAAGCGCTGCGTGCCGAGCCCAGTGCCCTCGTGCCCTTTCCAGGTGTTTGTATTTGCTCCTATGACGTGTGGGCATTATTATTGTTTGTGTTCCACAGATGAGGAAACAGAAGTTCAAGGAGAATGATAACTCATCTGAGTTAACATCATTCAGATGTGGCCAAGCCAGGATTTGCGCCCAAGACATCTGGCTGTAGAGGCCACGCTCTTATCCCGCCCATAGGAGCACGTGTGTTTGTACCCCGCCCCCTCCCTGTCAGCTCACTGGAATGAGGAGTTTGTGGGAGTGACCTGCTCTTTGATGCTTTTTTCTTCTCCCCCCTCAGGCTGCTTCTGTTCTTGATGTCAGATACGCATCTGCCTCGTGAGAAACTTGGGTAGCTTTGAACACTTGGTATGGACTACTGTGTTATCCAGGATATCAGGTATTCCGAGACATCACCTAGCCATCTGCATCACATCTCTGTGGACAAGCAGCTATTACCAAAAAAGGCATACACTTCAGTCCTGTGCTACACCTGCCTTAATTCTTTGCTCGTTCCTCCATTCTGGCACCACTTCCCAGAGAGCTCCGTCGCACTCTCTCTGCCTAAGTGCTCGGGAGCCTCCCGGCTGCACATCGCTTGTGACTCCAGGAGCCGCCTCCCCTGTCAGAGCCCGCAGGGCCCCAGCCGTGCCAGTTCTTCCCAGTCGACAGCTTCGGGACAGGGTGTCTATCAGAAGGCCGCATCTGCTCCTGCATGGCCTGCGATTTCTACTTTGTGCATAGTTCTCAGAGTAACTGCGACCCTGTTGGCCCTCTAGAAAGTTTCTCTTGTTCTTTTCTGAGACAACCACCTAAGTGAGATCATGCTTCTTTGGAAACCACACCATATTGGCAGACTGTATGGTAACCCCTATCGTGCCAAGTGTCTTGCTGCAAGTCACATTTTCCTAAACATAGGGTCTAATTATGGTTTAGAAATTTAGTTGGCTTATTTTAAACCTCTCCCTTCTCCCTTCCCAAGTATTATAGTAAAAATCTCATTCACAAAAACTGTCCTTGGACATTGAAGCTTAAAGGGAACGTGGACCTCAATGCTTTTCTGCCTTCAACTTTCAACATTGTGATCCTGGGGTGGGTGCCACCCCTTCTTTTCCTCACCCCCACCCCCTACCACCACCCCCCAACTCCAAGAGATTCAGTCCATATCACTGTACCTGGTGCTTGTACATTTGGAATTGGTGCCTTCTCCTTTTGGCAACCATGTCATCAACCCTTTTTCTGTTTTGGTGTCTTCTTTAAAGTTTATTGCTAGCCAAAGATGACATCAGTGAGATTAGGAGACGGGAGAGCTTGCTGCAGATTCTGACAGTGCAGATTTTAAATGTCAGGTTAGCTCAGTAACAGATATTAGAATAGCTGGTGATGGTTTTGTAAAAGCGGCACATTGTTCCCCATTTCTCTTGCTATGTCTGGCCTTTGATATGGCACTCCACATGTCCGTTTGCATCCTTCATGTACTGATGTGGCCACACAAACACCTTCCCCTGTCTTAATATCAGAGTACAGGACAGAGCGGTGATGAGTATATTGTTCTAGTGAGAGCAAGATAAAAAGAATCTACAAAGCCGTATGTAATGCCTTTTGGTTGGACTGGGAACAAGTAAATTTTTCTAAGAAATGTTTTGAGACTTCCAGAATCACTTTTGTTCTCCTACCAGACCGTGGGCCTGCGGGGGGCTGAGGAGCACCTGTCAGACTGCATTCTAGCACAGCCTGCTCCTGCGGCCGGCTCACACTGCACTACACACGTTCAAGTAGCTGTTGTTGTTGTTGCTGTTTGCATCGTTTAAAGATTTTTTTCTGCTTTCAATACCAAAAAGAAAAAAATGCCGATGCTTTAAGGCATAACCAGAATTCTTAAGAATTTAAAATATGCAATTAAAATTTGATGTTTTGACTCCCAAGCACCTTGCCTTTTTTTTTTTTAAGTAAGCTGATTTTCTCTTAGAGAGAGGGTCAGCTAGAAACCTAGGTTTCTTGAAATTGTACATTCTTTTTTAGAAGTCTGGAGAGAGGTCATTCAAAAGGGACTTTCCCAACTTTTATCATCTTGTCCCTACACCAGGTGTCTGTCAGTCAAGTCAAAGCCTGTGAAGGACAGCGTCAGAGGAGGCCCCACGTGCCACTCCTGCCTGGGGACAGGGTGGCACAGGAACACTATTAAGGAAGCAGGGGCTTCTGTTACCGTAGCCTGTTGGATAATCGAAGGGTGGCAGGAAGAACGTGGGAAGGAGTCGCCTACGTTTTGCATATCACTGAAGGGGACACTAAGGCACAGACTGAAGCTTTGGGTTCTCCTTGCTTCCCTCCAAACCTCCTTCCTGCTTCCCTACAGAAGCAGTAGGCGATGGCGGCAGTGGGTTTCTCGCTCTGCCTGGAGGTGTGTTTCTCTCTTCCCACCCAGGCTGCTTTCCTTAGGAAGTGATCCCTCCTGGCACTGCTTGGAAGCTTGATGCTGATTCTTACACAGCAAGGCATGGCAGTGAGCAGTGCCAGGCGGTCATCTGTATTCTGCACTATCCCCTCATGTGGCTCCGGCGCTGGATGACGGACTCCGGCCCGGAGGAGTGACCATGCTGGTGCACTTGTGATCACAGCAGCTGAATTCAGCTTTCTCCCTAAGGGGAAGGAGCATGTCACTTTCATTTGACAGAGGGAAAAAAGGGTAGTTGTCTTTGCCTAACTGCCTTTGTTGTAGTTTCATGCATAAGATAGCACTGTGTTTTAAACTTTTTTTCATTACACTGTCTTTGCAATGATGTAAATGCAAGAAATCACTTAGCTTTAAAAGCTAAGCGGTTCGGTCTTATTTATGTGAAGACTCTTTAACATATCAAGAATTAGGTGCATTGGCAGGTAGTGTTTGGGATGTGATGACTGCTTCAGATGGAATGTTCACTTAAGCTTTGTCTTCTTAAAAATTATCAATGTGAATGTCATAATTATATATATTTTTGTGGAAAATTTCTCCTAAGTATAAGTTATTGTGCAAAATATAGTATCATTGACGCAAATAATAGTTTAACTTTTAGTTTAGAAATCCTAAAAGATATAAATTGTATTGCATATGCATTAAAACTTTGTTCTATTTAATTTTATGTAGATGTGTAAAGTGTTAGGTAAAATTTTTTTTCACTTATCCATTTAAACACCTTGTTACTTGAATATTGTGTTGACTGGTCTGCAACAGTGATCAATTCTGTAATATAGCTCTTTTAACCAGGAAGTACCCGTGCCTCAGTCACACTGGCTAGATTGGTGGTGGCACACAGTCGGCGCCAGAGGTTAGTGTAACACGCCCACGCATCGTCTCGGTGTGGAGTATTTGTCAAGACACTGCTTCCTCAGAATGGTTTTTGATAGTTTTTAGGCTCTAAGACCCTTTGATATGCTCATAAACCTCTAATCTAAAAACAAAATTGAAAAAGTAGTTGGGTTTTAAAAGCTTATTGTGGTGGACTAATTAAGCAGTTTTCTATTGATATAAAGTTTCCTCAACTATCACACACCACTCTAAGTGTGCTCATTGTCACTTTAAATTTTAACTATACCCTATTTTTGTGTTTCTGAATATCAGATGTACTATTGGTATAATTGCACACCAAAAATAAGCCAAACAGTGCATTACACTAACTGGATCCCCGCCTTTGTGTGAGTAATGCGAAGATGGAGGCAACCCAGATGAGAGCCTCTTTTTTCTCTCTTGTCTAGCCTGTTTCTACAGCTAATGACCGAGGATTCAAGCTTTTAATATCAGTGAAACTTTGCCTCGAATTGACTCAAGGTAGTTAGGTCATCAAAATCTAGTGATCTTGTGCAATGCTGTTTCTGCCACTCCCTGGATCTCTGCAGCTTTTCCTAATTGTAGTAAAGCACAATTGCAGCGACGTCGCAGTTCGGAAGAGGAAGGTCAGCATAGCCTATGCATGTTGTGTAATCATGAGTGTTTACAGCCACCTTCTCCTAAGATGAAAGTTTATACTGGGGTGGGTAGTGTTCCATTACGTAGACTTATCGACTTTGCTAAGTGCTTTTTAGACTGCTAAAAAATTTTTCAAGATTTTAAAAGATGTATAAGGTTAAGTTTGGAAATATAATGGAAATGCTGTATATCTTTTGAAGTGATAAAATCCATGTTGGAATTTTAAAGGAAATATGTTGTAATAATGCTGTTGTAAGTAATATTTTATTGTCTCTCTTTGCCTGTTTTCTATTTCAGCACATTCATTGTGGTGAATGTCCATAGCATTATAACCGCTTAGCCATTGAATGATAACATTTGTTAGTGGAAATCGGAAAATTTATTTGTGAAATTCTGCAGAATTCATTTTTCTATTTCCAATATTTGCTGAAGTTAAATAAAAATTTTCAAGCCATTGATGTAATAAAATATGAAACAAAACCATTTCTGCACCCCACTGTCCATCAGAGCACACCCACCCTCATCCACAGCAGGGTTCCCTCCGTCCTGAGTGGGCCTCGGGGTTTCTGAGTGTGTAGTTGCCCCAGAATTAGGCCCTTTGGAAAGACACAGCCAGGATTTCTTTGCTCCACCTAAATGTCTATTCTTTTTCATAAAGATAATCTTACAGTTAGGATCAGACTAAGGGGCATGAGTTCATACAGTTCATGATAGTTGAGGGCTTCAATATTATAAAGATTCAGTAAGAGGAATTTTTTTCCCTGTTGGTAATTTTTCTTCAGCTTGCCCAGGTGTTGACCTCATCCCTGGAGGTGGCCTCTGCAAAGCCTTGGACTATGGCAGTGAGGATCGTGGCCTCTGGTCAGCCGAGAGTGGACACGTGCTGGTTGCAGCAGCTCCCTGAGTGGCCGGAAGGACACAATTAGCGTCCACTGGCAGTGGTCACAGGCTTTGTGGTCTTCCCTTTTTCAGCTGGAATGTAGCATTTGGTCAGATAACAACTACAGAAACCTAACCTCTAAATCCAGCATTGTCTCAAACCACATTTGAAGTAGGTAGATGGGCCTCAGCTCTGGCTCTGTGCGAGGCAGCGGGGTCGTAGACGGGGCGGGTCTGCCCTTCTCAGTGTGCATGACCTGGTGGGGAAAGCTGAACGCTGCTACACGTGGCAGCAGTCAGCGCCGGAGGGGGCGCAGCGAGTGCTGGGGTGTGTCTGGGAGGAGGAGCTCGGCTGTGGAGAGTGTCTGTTCTTACAGCGAGTCCTCAAGGGAAGATACAGTCTCCTCAGATGAGGCCTGAGGGGCACCTAGGAGAGGAAGCCCAGGCCCTTGGACCTGGGGCTGTAATTTGTGGAAGTGACTCGTGTAGAACAAGGAACAATCGCTAAGGGCAGAGTCTGGGTATCCGGTGATCGCTAGGGCTGGGCAGAGGAGGACGTTATGGAGGTGTTGAGGGACAGGTCCTTCCAAAGGCTGGCCTGGACAGTGTGTGGACAGGCACAGATTAGGAAGGGATAGGAGACATGTTGGGTCCCGAAACCCAGGTCGTGTGAAGACCCTGGGTCCAGGCCCCTTCCTCTAGACAGGGGAAAGGCACCTGTGTATAGGTGCATACGAGGTCACCTCTTGTGCCTCACCTCCTGTAATCTTGGCACTTGCTGCAGCCACAGCTTTAGGCAGGTATGATTGATGGCACTGTGACGTAGGGGACCTCGGGGGACTGGCAGGAGCTCGGGTGCACAGCCTGGGAGTAGGAGGGAGTCCAGCCCTCGGGCAGCTTCTTGGTGATGCGGGGGTCCCTTGCCACTGTGCCTCCGACAGTCTGTTCTGAGGCAGCTCCTCAGGGCTCTGCCTCAGTGGCCCTCACAGGGGTGACCAGCTCAAAAACGCAGTGGTACCAATTTTCCTTCCCTGTCTTGCTTTTCCTGGTCTCCCACTTCTATTTCCAGGGGTGATTTTCACAATCTAACCACGTCCTCACAAAGCCTTATGGTGGGCTCTGTGTTCTGGTGGCACCTAGATGGGGACAGCACCCGGGAGAACTCTGTTCCCCACCAGGCCCGGCCAAGGGGCAACTTGTGCAGAAGGGCGGGGTTTTAAGGGCACCTCCCTGCTGATGTCACGGGGACAGGCAGGGCCAGCACCCATGTGGAGCTCCCAGGTTCTGTGGCTGCCCTGTCTGAACTCCCAGCAAATGCAGGTCCTGCAGAGGGGGACTGGGTACTTCTCGTGGACACCAGCTTGAGGCAGTTCCCTTCTCTGCGGCCCCCATGTGCTGGCTTCCTGTCCCCAGGACCCTGCCAGGTGCAGACTGGGAACCGAGGTGTGCGAGGTGGTCCCGTGGCTGGGCCACCCGCCTTCTCAGCAGATTCGGGGCCATCTCACCACCTACCTGGGGTTCCGGTAGCACCTATGGCCGGACAGCTCCCACACGGAGAGGCCCAGAGCCCTGGAACTTGCTGCTGCTGCACTTCTCCACTTCTGTGTCCATCAGTGCCTCGAAATGACAGCCCGGCACCAAAGTCCCTCCCAGCTCCTGCATCTCTTGCTGTATGGCGCTGCCACCTACCTGGTCACTGTGCCAGACACACTGGCACCATCTGCTCTGCACTTCTTCCACGGCTACTGCCGGTGACAGGGCCAGCCCTCTTTTTTTGTTTGTGGTTTTTTTGAGATAGAAGTCTTGTTCTGTTGCCTGGGCTAGAGTGCCGTGGCGTCAGCCTAGCTCACAGCAACCTCAAACTCCTGGGCTCAAGCGATCCTCCTGCCTTGGCCTCCCAGAGTGCTAGGATTACAGGCGTGAGCCATCGCGCCCGGCCAACTCTTGCCTGAGTTGGTACCGGGGCCTCCTAACTCCTCTGTCTCAAATCCCCAGCATTGTGCTGGCCTTTTCTCTCTCCCCTTCCCCGCTCCCCAGCCGGAACCAGGGACCTCTCCTGCTGAAAGTCCTTCATCTGTCTTAGAAAAATGCACAGCCCTCCTGCTGGGACAGAGGCCTTCCCCCCTCTGCTCACCCGGCCCAGCCCAGCCTCGGCCTGATGTCCCACCCATCTCTGTGGCGCCAACTGCTCCCCGACCTTCAGCAGCGAGAGTAACTCTCAGGTGTCTGCAACTTAAACCTCATTGTGCGCTGCCCTCTTTGTATGCACAATAAAGGGGTGTTCTTAAATTTTTATTTGTTAATAGGTAACCAAATTGTCTGGTACCAGAGGGGCACAGTGAAAAGTAAGTTTCCCAGTCCTGTCCTCAGGCCACCAGTTCTCCCCACAGGCAGCCATGGCTTCCGGTTCCGCACGCGTCCTCCAAGAGGCGACAGGCACGTCCACGAAGCATCGCGTGTGCACGCTCCTGCCAGCCACCACCCTCTTGCCACACAAGTACTCTGCTTCTGTTCCTTTCCTCTCTTGATACATTAATGCCTTAGTCTTTGCGTGAAGTCGTTTATGGCTGTAACTGTTTATGGCTATAACAATTTATATTGAAACCTTAGTTGACAGGCACTGAGGTGTCTGTAGTATCTGCAGACTGGAAATAACCTGTCATTTGCTTACATGCCAGTGTAGTTGTGGGGTAAATATCTAGGATTAGAGTTTCTGGATTCAGAGATCTGTTCATTTTTACGTTCATTTTTACATTTAATTTTATTTTTTAGAGGCAGGGTCTAACTCTTGTCACCCAGGCTGGAGTGCAGTGGTATCATCCATCCTCGCTCACTGCAGCCTTGAACTCCTGGGCTCAAGCGATCCTCCTGCCTCAGCCTCCCGAGTAGCTGGGACTACAGGCGTGTGCCACCACAGCCAGCTAATTTTTCTTATTTTTTGTACCGACAGGGTCTGTCTGCGTTGCCCAGGCTGGTCTCAAACTCCTGGGCTCAAGCCAGCCTCCCATTTCAGCTTCCTAAAGTGCTGGAGTTACAGGCGCAAGATACAGTGCCTGGCCTCACTTTTATATTTGATCCATCCCACTCAGCTGCCCTCCACAGCTAGCACCACTTTCTCCTTCCATCCACCGTGAACGAAGCCACCTGTGGCCCCACAAACCTTCCTGACACTGGAATGGTCGAACATTTTGATCTAAGGTGTATTATAAGCTTTTCAGCCCACTGGACTGTGAGCTCCTTGAGGTCTATACTGTTAAATTCACCTTGTTGCCCAGTACTGGAAATCATAGGAATGGGGAAATCGGGGACATTGAGTAGGAAAAGCAAATGGCCTGGGCCCTCGTGCTTAAGGATGGAGGTGCCATCGTGGCTTATGACAGGCTCCCGGGAAGGATTCACAGCTGCCAATTCCTGGGTGTCGGAGAGGGATTGGTTGAGGTTTGGGGTTTCTGGGCCTTTTCTTGCTTATTGAGCTGCTATCTGCTATTTAGATATGAGTTGCCAAAGGCCTGGGAAAAGAAACATGCAAACTGAAGATCTGGTGACTGTAGATTGTGCAGTGAGTTGAATTCTGGATTCCGGTTTTCAGGTCTTTGTCCTCCCACCCGTTGCCCCTCACCCTGCTCTTCCCGCCCCCGCGGCCCAGCTGGAGAGTCGGCTGCCAGCAGGCGTGGGCAGGTGTTCAGCGTTCCGGCCCCACAAGCTGAGACACGGGCAGGGAGTGCTGCTTGGAGCTACGTGGGAAGTGGGAGTCTTGGCGACAGTGTCCGGGAGCAGGTGACAGTTGGAGAGGGAGCAGCAGCTCACCCGAGCAAGGGCATCCAGCAGGCCCTGCGGCTGCGCAGGATCAGCTGGTGCCCTTCAGCCAGGGCGGGGCTCTGTCTCCCGTCGTCCAGTAGAGGGGTTACAATGTCCAGTGCCTCTTTGGTGACTTATGCACCAACCTGCTGTCCTACCCGTGGCAGACGGCTGGTGAGTGTTCGTGACTGCTGAAAAGACATAGCCAAGAATCCCCTGCAGGCTGGGCGCGGTGGCTCACGCCTGTAATCCTAGCACTCTGGGAGGCCAAGGTGGGCGGTTCGCTCAAGGTCAGGAGTTCGAAGCCAGCTTGAGGAAGAGCAAGATCCCGTCTCTACTAAAAAGATAGAAAGAAATTAATTGGCCAACTAAAAGTTAGCCGGGCATGGTGGCACATGCTTGTAGTCCCAGCTACTCCGGAGGCTGAGGCAGGAGGCTCGCTTGAGCCCAGGAGTTTGAGGTTGCTGTGAGCTGGGCTGATGCCATGGCACTCTAGCCCAGGCAACAGAGTGAGACTCTGTCTCAAAAAAAACCCACAGGGCCTGCAGTACGTCCGGCTGCGGTAGCTTCCTCGCTCCAGGCCTCGCTGCAGGCACACGACAGGCTGGTCCTTCCACATGCATCGCCAGCGCCAGTGTGCCCAGACACCCCTGCCTCGGGCAGGGCACGCCGCGCATTTCTGTTCTCCAAGAGCAGCCAGCGCCCAGTCCCAAGAAGCAAGGAGGGGCCCCCTGGTCCTGCTATGAGGATTTTTTGCAGAACAATGACTTTGAATGGTCGCAGCTCCTTGCCTTTAACTGAAC